CCAGTGTTGGTTTCTCCACACTGTTAGTGTGTACCATAACTGTTCCCCCTTTTGTTACTACCCCTAGTCTGGATCATCCTATCATGCAGTCCCAGAAGGATTTAGACGCTCCTTCTGCTAGTGCCCCTAGACTCCCTGAGCCCATAGTGGTAGTCAAACCACCTACTCAGGCTGCCCTGGAGGATGCATCACAGGAGCAAATGAACTCTGAGGAGTTTCAGTCACTACTGGACGCTACAATTGCGAAGTCAGTGTCAGAAGCCATCTTTACGGCCATGGGGACCATGACAGATAACCTGTCAGAGTCCATCACACGTGCCTTATTGTCCTACCCTAAGTGCTCCATACCCCCGGAGAGTAAGCCAATAGCCCCTAGTGGGCGTAAATCCGCTATAAAATATCCCATCGCATAGACGAGGAGCCTGGGCAAAATCGGTGAGGGCCTGGAAGAGGGCCAAAGCCCTCATCGAATCTTCTGACTCCGAATCGGAACAAGAGGATGCATTGAGTGAGTCAGATGAGGACTCTTATGATTCAGGTGCATATTTGCTTGACCACGGCTCCTTGTCAGGGCCTGGTGTCGATTCCAAGGCCGGGGTTGATGACTCCACCCTTTTGGACCCTCAGGGCGAACTGCTCTTTGATCCGGACAGCTTATAGCATTGCGATCTTCAGAGTGGTACCTTTTGGATCATGTGGCTAAATACATTGCGGCGCGAATTAGGAAACCTCTTGACAAGGAAGCACAATATAAACTCAGGGCAGAATGCCTACGTCCCACACTCCCTGATATGGCCTGTAACACGCCAGACATGGATCCCCAAATCGCCCGATTCCTTGGCAAAACAGGGTGGAAGGCTAAAGAAAGGCCTGGAATTTTCCCTGTGTAGTTGCCAGGATAAAATCATGGATGTCCTAGGTTCAAGGGCCAAAATTTTTGACATGGTCGAAACAGCCTTGGCAGGGGGTACCCCCGCAGACTTACTGGCCATCAGGGGCTGGATACAAAGATCTGTGTGCTTACTTGGTAATGCCAATACGGCACTGGCCACTTAGAGACGCAAGTCCATATTAGTAAAAATCGAACATAAGCTAGTAAACCTAGCAATCTCAGAGCCTGGACCACAGGCTAAAGGTCTCTTATTTGGGGACAACTTTGTGAAGGAGCTAGACACCTATGTAGGGACGTTCAAGGCAGACCTTGGCAATCTCCTGGACCCAGAGGTTCTTCCTATGGCCAACAGCCTTATGGTAAAATCAATTCATGTTTCTACAACATCTATGGTAGGGGGCAGATTGAAGAGATTTGTACATGCTTGGCACATGTTAATTTCAGATGCTTGGGTCCTCCATACTGTCCTGGGTTATTCCATAGGTTTTGTGCAACGCCCCGTACAATGGTCTTTTCCCAAACGTATCGTGTTCTCTTCACACGACCGACAGTTGGTGTCGCAGGAAATACAATCCCTCACATCCAAGGGTGCTATTCTGGAAATTCAACCCCAAACTCCAGGGTTCCTGAGCAACATCTTTCTGGTCCCCAAAAAAGGGACAGGTGTTCGACCGGTCATCAACCTGCAACCACTGAATGCCTTTGTCGCATACCACCACTTCAAGATGGAAAGAATTCACTCACTCCGAGATCTTCTACTCTCAGGAGACTAGATGGTCAAACTCGACCTGCAAGAGGCCTATCTTACCATACCGGTGGCCAAATATTGCCAACAATATCTCCAATTTCAATGGGAATGGACCGTGTGGCGATTCAATCCATTCGGTCTCACCTCAGCCCCATGATGTTTCACAAAACTTATGAAACCAGTGGTTGTGCTACTTCTCAGCAGAGGAGTTCGCCTCATAATATACTTGGACAATATACTCCTGATGGTCAATCATATTCAGAATCCGTTCCTCTCAACTGTTCAGCCAAAGAGGTGGCTGCAACACATGGAGGTGTGGAATGGATGAGCAATCTTTGGCACCGCTCCGGACTTCATAGTAGAATCAGATGCAAGTATGCTCGGCTGGGGCGCACACTGCGGTCCTACCTCCACAGGTTGGAAATGGTCCACAGTGGAACAAAACATGCATATAAATTGACTCAAATTACTAGCAGGTTAATTTGCCCTGAGAAGCCTCTTGGGTGTATCGACCAACTGCTCCATCTTCTTGCGGATGGACAATATAAGGGATTCTAGCACTTTTGCCTGGATCGCAATATCTCAGTACAAGCGGAGTACATACCGGGGATGTCCATTGTTGTGGCGGACTGGAATGCCAGACCCCTAAGGGACACCATCGATTGGCACCTGAACCCTTCCATTTTATTTAGTCTACAGGCACTGTGGGGACCCTTGGATATCGACCTATTCGCATCACGGTTGAATTCCCAACTACCAAGGTTTTTCAGTTGGAGACCCGATCCGGACGCTCTGGCATCAGATGCTTTCCTACACTCATGACAGAACACTCGACATTACGCTTTTCCTCCATTTGCTCTGATTGCCCGGACACTTTTCCACCTCAGGCGTTACCGGACTTTGCTGATTCTCATATCCCTGTTTTGGACGGCTCAGCCCTGGTTCCCTACGCTCATGGAAATGTCCATAGATTACCCGAGATTACTTCCCGTCTTCCCGGATCATGTGCTGGACCCCAGCGGGAACTATCATCCGCTTCTACTCCAGGGAGATCTCAAGCTTGGCTCCTTTCCGGGGATTCGGTCTCCTCACAGAAGTTTTATGAACAACTCTGGATCTCTTGGCAGGAGCTTGGGCTCCAGGAACAAGGAAATTCTACCTCCATGACTGGAACTCATGAAATGGTTGGTGCAATGAACAACAATTGGATCCCTTATCTACGCCTGTGAGTTACGTTTTGAGTTTCTTCACTTAATTTTTGAACGCGGATTGGCATGTCGTACGGTGAATCTTTGTAAATCGGCTATATCGTCAGGCCACCAAGGTTAGAATGGATTCCCAGCAGGGCAACACACCTTCGTGTGTCAACTCCTTCGTGGCATCAGATTTGCATGTCCACCTCATCCTAAATATTCCTAAGTATGAGATGTAAACATCGTTCTCAGATGATAACTGGCCTCAGAATAAAGACCTTTCACTCAAACAAATCACGGCTAAATTGGTCATGTTTATATGCTTAATTTCCTGTAAACGTGTTTCAGATGTTCATGCACTGGACATTACAACACGTTCCTTTACTCCGGATGGCGTTACCTTTAACATTTCTAGAAGTACGAAGACATCCATTACATTGTTTTTTTTTATCCAGCCTTTCCACATAATATCAACCTATGTCCGGTGGATTGCCTCAAGGAATATGAAGACCGGACATCTTCAATACGTGACAATTCATACTCTGACTTGTTTATAGCTCTTCGACATCCATATCGCCCTGTTTCCACAGTTACATTATCTAGATGGATTATGACATCAGCTGACATTGACACTTTAACGTATGGAGCACACTCTTTTAGAGGCGCTATAGCATCAAAAGCTTTCTCGTTGGGAAGCAGACTGGAAAACCTCCTACGCGCTGCTGATTGGTCTTGAGAATCTACTTTTCAGGCGTTTTATTTTCGTCCAATTCAACATTTTTCTTCTACGGTGGTGATACAGCTTTGAACTAGCATAATATAAGCCTCCGTGTCCTTTAATAAAATTACCAGATTTTACTAATTTCATGACGTAAAGTCATGATTTTATTAAAGACAAAGAGGCAAGTATTATCCCACACGGTAAAGGTAAGTTGCGCCCTCCCTACGTCACTAATGGGCATTTAACCACCATGACACTGTTGGTTATGTTAGGTGGAGCATGTAGTTTAGGTTACTGTTAATTATTCTATGTGGTTTTTGATTTTTCTTTTATAATAGAAAAGGTTTTATTTTTAATCTTAAGAGTTTAAATAATAAAATATTGTAGCATTTCACAAGCCTATCTTCCCCGCCCCTGCACCCAAGCAGCAGTGTTTCCCTTCTCGCACAAATATATCCATGAACTGACATGGACTGTATTGAAAAAATGAAAATCTTCAAAAAAGAACAATCTCTACTTGCGGCAGGAAATGGCTATTTAGCTTCACTCCCAAGTTCTCCTACATACTATGGCAGAAACACATATATTTAAACCAAATGTTAATCACTCAGAGCAAATGCAACTGTAAAGGCTATTTTAAGTCACAGCATTTTAAATATAGTGCTTGGGTCTATGGCTATTTACTGAAGCATGTACAGCTGCTTATTGCAAGAGCACTATAAGTGTTTATAGGCATTCCAAGGGGATCCTTCCACTTTCTATAGACATGTTCATATTAACCTATTATGTACATGGCATTAATGACTTTAGTGCCAGCCTTTTATTATTTCTGCACTAAATAGTAAAGAATTGACAAGGGACTTTTGAATTTCGGCTTAAAATTTACAATCCCTTTGTCAGTTCTCCACAATTCCCAATTTAGTGAATAAACACTAAATGTGCTGATTTCCACAAGAACAGTAAAAAAATAAATTAAAAAAACACAGTTCATTTCTATGTTTCAGACATGGGCAACAAACAAGGCGAACACGATTAAAGGAGCACTCAAAACACCAAAACCACTACAGCATACCTTTCTTAGCTCTCCTAAACTAATCTGCAGTGTAGGGCTAGCTCATTGGCTGAGGGCATGAGCAGATTACTCTCAGCCAATGAACTAAGACCTGCACCACCAGGCTTAGCTCACATATAGAGATTTTAGAAATGTTTCGGCTGTAGTGGAGGTGAGAATTAGCACCCACTTGCATTGGGGTGGCACCAAGGCAAGACACAATCTTAAAGCCACCTGCCCGTTGTGCTGCCAAAACAGCTCTGATGTATCGAGGCATGTACTCCACAAGACCTGTGAATGTGTCCTGTAATATCTTGGTTATATCTGGCACCAAGATATTATCAGAAGATGCTTTATGTCCTGCTGGGGTTGCGAGGTGAGACCTCCATGGATCGGATTGAACTCTTTGTTAGGTTCCTCAGACCATTCCAGAACAGTTTTTGTAGTGTGGCAGGTTGCATTATCCTGCTGAAAGAGGCCACTGCCATCAGGGAACACCATTGCCATGAAGGTGTGTATGTTGTCTGCACAATCTCTAGGTAGGTGTTATGTGCCAAAGTAACATCCACATGAATGCCAGAACCCAAGTTTTCCCAGGAGAACATTGCCCAGAGTATAACACTGTCTCCGCCGGTCTACCTTCTTCCCATAGTGCATCCAGCTCATTACTGGGTGTATTATTGCTGTGGATCTCGTAAAACCCCCTATTCACTGACAATATGGATTTCCAAGAAGAGAGGGACATTGGGACAGAAAAGAAGGACAGATGGATTTGGGCCAAAAATAGGGACTGTCCCTCTTAAATAGG